CATTGTGGTGGAAGACACATGCACTATGGTAGATGGTGCACATTAGACTTTGACCAATTGACCATCTTTGATGCATGAACATGATAATTTTTCCTTTCCATGCTTCCATATCATTTTTTTATATGTTTAAACTATCATTTGAGCTCAAACATTTTTTAAAAGGGTTTTTTGATATCCCAACTTTTGAACTTTTGATTTTAAAACCCATGTGTATCTTGATAACCTATAAAGATTTGCTTAATCCTAGTTATCATGGTAGTATTGTGTGCAGTGTTTTAGTAATATAAAAGCAGACATTACAACATTACTTTTATAACAAAATATTTTAAAAAAATTTAACAATAATTCATATAATTACTTTTGACGAAACTAAAAGTATTTTCTAAAGAATTAAACATAAATCTAAATTATATGAAATAATTTATATAATTATTACTTAAGTGGTTGAACACAATTTTCCTTATCAATTATCTTTTTAAAATTTAAAATTAAACAAAATCAATTAATAGATATTTAGGAAATTAAATTTCTTCTTTTAGGTGTTCGAGACTTAAACTAAGGCAAACTTAAGTAACAGCTAAAACTTGTGTGAGTTATATTGAAACCCGAGAGGATGAGTAAGAACAAGGACTAGAACTTTAGTTTATATTGTCACCAGTAAAACTCATCCTCTATGCCGTCCTAAAACTCGTGTGCTTAACCTCTTAAACTTGCGTGTTTGAATAAGACAAAGATAACCTCTTCATTGGTACTCTAAAACTCACGCGTTTGAGCATTACAGAATCAAAGGCATTCTTGAACTCCAACACTCGTGAAGATATCTCTAATACTTGCAGTATGAGATAAAACATTTAAAGAACGTTCTAATGCAATTTCACCTAGATCAAGTATGTTTTGTATTAGAACTCACTAGAATGAGATTATGACCTTGAAATACACAAAAATATTTTTCAAGTTAAAAAATTCATAACTGTGTATATGTGAGCCTAAGACTTGTTTCTCAAAATGTTTTACTACGATGTCTAAATGCAAACTCTCTAATTTAACTAGCTTTCTTGACAAATAGAACTAAGAGAATATACAATTAAACCTATGAAATTAAGCTACTTATTCTCTTATTTTTGCTCCTTTGCTTTGTTAGATTAGTTTGTCCTAATTATGCTATAATCTGAACAAACAAAATCTTTTTTTTTTTTAGTTTTTGTTATAATCAAAACAAAATATTCAACTGTTTTGTGGAAGTTTTTGCTTCACTATGAACGAGTTGTTCGTTTCTGTTTTTATTGCCAAAGTATTAATTGGTCATGTTTAGCACTGTTGTCCCCATTAATGTTCATGGTTTAAAACCTTTACTCCAGAATCCTTATACATGGTGGCTGGTCTGACTACTCCATTAAGAGTTTCTTTCCGTTGGAAAAGTTTTTCTCATTCAATAAATAACTTACGAACTGTGCAATGTTTCAGGTTTGACTCATTTCATTGGAATCGTTGATGATAATTCAGATGATGTTTCAAAGCAATCTGATCATCTTACAGAGTCTCATTAGAATGGACAATTCAAGTTGAGGAACTTCCACAGGATTTTTTCATTGGTTGTGAAGATCCAAAACACGATTCATGTGCTTCATTGCATGTTGATTACAATGTGGAGAATGCTAATAGAGCCACGTGCCGGAAAAGGAAATACATGTAAGCTTGTTTTGACAGACCCATAAACCCGCCGCTAAATTGCTGAGAACTCTTACTTCAGGTTTATTTTCACAAAAAAAAAAAAAAAAAAAAAGGATGAAAGCCAAGTGTGATAATGTCAGATACATTCACGATAAATCTACATTTGATTGAAGAAATGCTCCAACCAGCTTCAATATCAACCTTGAGTCTGTAACCCATAGCCGCTACTTGATCTTTGATGCTTCAACGCTAAGTTTAGATTTGGAACTCATCTCAGCAACTATTTCAAAGTTCACTTGCTTCTGTACTCATGGAACAAAGAGAGCATTTTAGGAGCGTTATGAAGATGACTTTGTTCCTCATACGGACCTGGGTTCTGCCGGAGCTTGTGACAAAAGGCTCTGAGGTCTTCAATAATGATTGTATCCAAAGTTTTTTTGGTAGTGGCTTAGAGGCACTTAATGATTTTCTTGTTTTCCCTTTCACACTTGGAGGAAAGGGAGTTTGATGTTGAAATCTTCTTCATGTTTATTCTTCAAGCTTTTCTTTGTTTTTGTGTTCGACTGCATGTGATTTATGTTTGTTATCCGTGTCTGGGAACCAGTTCAGTGCGGCTTTGGATCCCATACCTATATACAAGAATTGGATGACTATATCCACGTGGCAAAATTCATGCTGTCCATTAAATCAACAATTTGAAAAGCCTTGTTGCAACCAAAATTAGAAAACGCTAAATCCAAATTTTATAAATAGAATCATATATAATGAATGTCTACCTTATTTCTTGCCTAAAATTTTGAACTTATTTAAACTGTGTATGTTGTTCATCTTCTCCAATCAACTATCATATGTAGATTTTTTTTTTTAAATTAACATTGCGCTTTGTTCTTCTTCTCCTGTGGATGATAGTGCTCTGTTTAACTTGTTCTCTCTCTGTTTTTTTTTTTTTTTTGTGCCAGTAGTGCTCTATTCTTCTTCTCCAATGCTTGATTCTTCTTTGCATAGTCTGAGATTTATTTTAATCTTTTTTATTATCAAATTTTCATTCTGGAGTGCTTCATATCTGAATATGCTTTATCTTTTCTATTGAATCCAAACATCGCATTGCTTTCTGTATATCTTTCCTGTTGAATCAGAGGAAGGTGCTGACGATCTAAATTTTGTTGCTTTTTTTTTTTTTAATTCGTTGTTTAAGGAAACCGATTCTAAAGAATATTATCAGGGGTACTCTTTTGATATTATTTGGATTTTGGTGAATGTTCTTTGCTTCTTCTACTATTATCATGATATTATTATTTTTATATTATTCATGATATTCTGCATATTTTTATATTATATTATTATTTTTTATACAATATCATGATATTCTGCACCTTTCTTTCTTATTATGATTTTTGTATTATGATACATGAGTTTATATCATGTATTATTTATGAAGGGATTCATATTGTTATATTATAGTTCTTTTCAATGAATTTGGATTAGGTGTTTCCTGATTTCTGGTTGCACCAAAATTTTACAAACTGTTGATTTAATTAACAATATGGATGTTGCCTTGTGAGTATAGGCATCCAATGCCTATAGTTGAGACGAGGGAGCCAAGATGAGTAGCACACAAATACTTATGAGTCCGTCTTTGGTATTCATCGTGATGAGTACCATGGTATTTATCACCACGATGAGATATTGACTTTCAAAATTTGGATAATCAAAATTTAATATTTTTAAATTTTTATTTTTTAAAATTTATAATTTTTTAATAAATAATTTATCATCAATTAGGACAGTTCATAGTTAATTTGAAATGATCTAATTTAAATTAAATTTTTTATGAATTAATCATTCAAATGTACTCTAGACAATCTATATTTAATATTAAATTTTTATAATTTTATTTTAATAAATACAATATCAAAAATAAAGATAATATCCTTTAACTAGTACTTTTAAAGAAATATATATATATATATATATTTAAAAAAATTGTAAGTTAAAATTTTAAATTTGGACTGTCAAAAGTAAATTTGGATAGTGAATTTATAAAGTTATAAAACATTTAATATTAAATTTGGGTAAACAAATTAAATCTTAACTATCTAGTTGGTAATAAAGAAATATATTAAAAAAATTATAATTTTTTATTTTAATAAAATAAAATAAAAATTTAAATTTAAATATTAGATTTAAATCATCTAAATTAAATCATTTGAATGGTTCAAATCCTGCTCATCATCTTGAGAAGTACTAAAGTTTGTTCTCAGCAGTTTCTAGTCAAGATTTTTTTTTTTTTTCTCCCAACACCTCCTCCTTCATTCATCTTCAAAATCTCATCGGAACTTCACATGTTAGATCCTTCATATAGCTTCTGTTCCTTGCCTTTTCTCCTTGAATTATGATTCCAGGGAGCTGTATTATTGTGTACCAAATAATGCATCGTCAGGATTTCTATTCTAATTTCATTTTCAACTTTAAGATACTTCAATACCAAATATGGCTTAAGTTTTTCAATCTTTTAGCTGGTGTGCCTACGTGCTCATCATGATGCTCATTATCATGACGTGATCTAGACAATTCAGATTTAACATCTCTTAATTTATAATTATATTTATTAAAATAAACATTTATTAATTTTTTTTAACAAATATTTTATCATCAATTATGCTAATACAAATTTAATATAGACGGTCCAATTTAATTTTAAAATTTTTTTATTTTTTATATATTAAGTATCGACTTGTACTCTACACAATCTAGATTTAATATTAATTTTTTTTTATAATTTTCATACTTTTTTATTTTGATAAATATAATATTAAAAAATAAAATATCTCATCACAAGAGAGAATCTGAGCCAAATTTGTATGGTCCAAATTTTTTTAATTTTAATTTTATATAGGACAGTATTGATTCGATTTGAGACTCTAAGTAGTTCAATTTAATAGTATAATTTTTATAAATTGATTATTTAAATGTATTCTGGAGAATACAGATTTAATATTTAATTTTTTATTTTAATAAATATGAAATAAAAATAAAAAATTTAAATATATACCTTGCAGATAAAAATTTAATATTGAATTTGGACTGTCTATTATATATTTAGATAGTCAATTTATAAAAATTATAATATTAAATTAAATTATTTAAATTCAATCAGTACTGTCCTGATTGATTCCGAATATATTTAATAAAAAAATTTATAATTTTATTTTTATAAAATTAAAATTAAAATTAAAAAAATCTGGACGGCCCAAATCCTCTCCTGTGATGAGCACGTTGATGCCGAAATCGGTTCCCTTACCTTCCATCCTCTTGCAGTTCTACTCTCATTCTCGCCGTAAGCTAACTTCCTTCAACTCCTTTCCTTCCGCTCTCATTCTCACCTCCGCGATCTGCCCTAAGCTCTTTGCCTTCAGCTAGCACTAACACCCCCTCACCAACCGCTTGAGCCCTCAACTCTCTTCTTCTTTTCTTCAGCTTCGCCTACTTCTCCGACTCCCTTAGCTTCAGCTCTGCCTCCGGCTTGTCTCTTCACCTTCAGCTTCCTCTAGCTCCTCCTTCAGCTTGTCTCGGCGCCTCTGCTGTACTGGGTATTAATTTCTTCAACCATTTTTAATTTCTCCCACCAGTGTACGAATTTTAGGGTTGATTTCTATAATGGTTGTGTTGGCCCAAAAGGACTTCATGACCATCCGTCCACCCAGATATAAGCATTTTGGGCTATAAAAGAAAGCCAGAAGAAGAAGATTGGGAACAAGGGAGAGTTTGAATTAAAAATGACACTGATTCAGAAAATTTAGGAGGAACGCACAAGAAGAAGAAAGGCAAGGAGTTATGAAATGACCTCTTGATTTGGGTTTTCGAACAGTAACAAGTAATGTCTTCCTACTAAAATTGAATCAATGTTTATGGATCCAAGATTTGGTAATGAAGGAATGTATTTGTGGATGATTGATCTTAGTTAATTACTTTTATTTATTTATATGATGATTTTTGTATCATGTGGGGGTTGGTGTTGATCTCAATTGGATTCTGTTTGGGTGTTCCATGTTATTGGCATTGTAGAGTGTTATATTTTGTCCAGTGTCTAATTCATGCCCACCAAGTGTTCTACATTATTCCCGTGAGAACTTTCTTTCTGTATAGAAATGGAGTTCGAATCAATTCAAGATTGATAGAAGAGTTAGCTTTGAAAGGAGTCTGCGTTTTTGGGATAGTGAAACTTGGTCACAAGTGATTTTTAGCTCGATGGTTTTAAATCACATATGAGACATATATGGTAAGTTGATTGTACGATGAGGATTCAGGAACTTAAGGATATTACACGCAAGAAAATAACACACAAGAAAAAACCACACACACATAAGGCTCTGTTTCTCACTCGCTGTCTCTTCTGCCACATCTTGTTCCAAAGTCACAAGCTCGCAGCAAAACCATTTATATGCCTCGTGTATGAGTGAAAATCGATTCTTTTCTTGTTTGCAGCATCATAACTGCAATGGAAGGAAAACCAAGTATATTTTAAGGTTTGAGAGCGCGTGCAGAAACAAATATTTGTTCAGATATGAATCTCATCATCATACCTTTCCAGATAAGATCCCTGCAGCGACATGGTACGGAGAAGAATTTTTGATAGAACAACTTTTGAAGTCCTAATTTTTTTGGCAGTTTATAGCTCCATTTAGAGCTGGACAATTTATATGATATTGCTCGCGCTAGTTATGTTTTGTTCCTCCCCCCCCCCCCCTCCTCCTTGTTCCATTATTATATTTCTAAAAACTAAGTACATTTGTGTCATGTTAAGTATGTTCATATCCATTCCAAATGTCTCTTGAAAGTAGAAACTTGATTTCCGTGCCATGCTTTCACACCACCAACATTTTGTGATTTGTCAGCTTCTAGCTCCATTTGTCCGGCCTCCTTACTTCTTGGCCAAAACTGGATCCCCTCAATGGCGAGAATCCCCAGCGTCTGAACGGCCAAATCTGGTATATTCAAATGGTCAAAATCTTATTGACCTAAAAAAAAAGGGGTCAAAATATCATTAATACACACATCACGTCGCTATTAAAAATACATCTAAACAATTTATTTTTAAAGATTAATGTCTAATTTTTTTTTATACTTATTTTTTAGGATTTGATGGGCACTGTGTACTCTTAAATTGGGCAATTTTTTTTTTAAGTAATTTTTTGAGATACAAAAATGTCTTTCTGTCAGAAGGTTGTTAACTTTGTCATTTTTTACTGACGTGACATGTGCGTGAGGTCCACACACAAAGATAGTTAAGATTCTAACCATGTCCTTTGATGTTAACATGCACCTAAATTCTTTTTACAAAAGCGTTGGGCTTCCTAACGTCTTTTTTAAGGATTATTAGGTACTTTAGAGTCTTATTAAAATAAAATTTAAGAAATATTGCCAAAATCTTAAATATTTTCATATTTAATAATTTAAATATTATTATTTTTAAATATCCAGTCAAAATTTATAAATTGTTTTTTAAATATTAACAAATCAAACTAGCATTTATAGATTTATAGATGAGTTCTTATTTTTATATATCGATTCTCGATCTTCATTTTGAGACAATACCCAAATCGTTATGTATTTTAATATTAGTTAAGTTCTTTAAATTTTTATGTCATTTTCTATAATTTTTTTTTGTCAACTAACAATTTTTCTCCAAATATTGCACTATGCAAATTTAATATTCTTTGTTCATTGCAATGTTAGAAGTAAAATAAAAAACATGGCAAAGCAGGACTAACAATATGCCAACAAAAATAACTATTTGAAAGATATTGCTTATTTTATTAATATGCTACCAAAAAGATTATTTAACAAGGAAAAAATGGAGAAATGAGAAGAAAAAATTTCTTTACTAATTTGAAAGTTCATTTCCTTCGTTTTTAATATAAAATTGCAAAATAGACTTTAGGGTACTTAGCACTTCTAGAAAAAAAGTTTAGGAACAAATTAACACCAAATGATATAATTAAAGTGTTACATGTTACTGTGTATGGGCTTCACGACATGCCACGTCAGCAAAAAATAAAAAAATTAATGATTGACTAGTAAAAAACTTTTTTGCTTCTCAAGAAAATAATTTAAGAGTAAAATTACTCCACTTAAGAGTATATAATGCATAGCACTCAAAAAAAGTACAGGAATAAAATTGAACCTTAACCATATTTTTAAATAGTAAAAAATATATATATTTTAAAATATCATGTATGGGTAGAAATAGGTAGGGCCTAAGTTAGATTTTAATTAACCAATAGTTATATTAAATTTGTTACTTCCTCTAATCACTTATAGTTTTTAATGTTACTCATATTTAAACTCATTAATCATGAAAGAATATAATACAAAATTGAAAATTTTTCATTTAAATAATGGTAAAATTAAAATTTTATTATATTTTCATACAAAATTAATGACTTGATCGCTTTTCTTTGATTTTGATAAAGTAAAGATATCTTATACTAGGGACTAGAGGAAGCACTCCTATTATCCTAAATTATAAAATATTTTTAAAAAAAAATTGACATCTCAAAATATAAAATATTTTAAGAATATTAAGATTTTACTAAATAGGATTATTTCAATATCACTCTTTCTTTCACTATTTAATTTATGTCCCTCTCTCTTTTCAATTTATATCAAATGAAATTTTTAATTTGTTTATTTTAAAAAATAAAATTGTTATGTATATTTAATATAATTTATTAATAATATAAAATTTTGTTTAAAAATATATTTTAATTTGAGATGAAAGGAGATTTTTTCCCCCCAGGAAAGGGGCCCACCCCTCCTTCAAGGACGTCTTCGTTTGTGTTGACTAATTGACTTTGAAGCAATCAAGGTGTCATCTGGAATTTAAGAAAATATGACAACGGCCGAACTATAGCCGTGTACGCAGACTGAATTTCTTTCTTTGTTTCGGCCAGATCGCGTACTTTTAAACATAAAGGTCACATGGATGATTTGTGCCGTTTGCTTTCTCATTACAAGGGAAACGACCATGAGGTTAATCACGTGTCTCGCTATGTATCATTGCATGTAAAGCAAAAGCTTTTTATTCATTAACGAGGTATTTGCAATTAGTAACAAACATAGGGTGCCTTTTGCTATAGTAATAATTAATGAAAGGATAAAGAAGCAAAATTATCCATAAATTAATCAACCACGGGCACCCAATATTCTAAAATGAGTAAAATGATAAAAATAATCATAATATTACATAGATGGGTGCAAAAATGATCAAACCATTAACTTTGACTTAACATTGTTAACTTTAATCGTTAAATATTGACTGTACATGTCACATGTCAGTTTTTGCTGATGTGGATTAATAAAGGGGTAAAAATATCCACAAACTTGTCAGTCAGGAATAAAAATACTCACGAAGTTGTCGGGTGGGAGCAAAAATACTCATAACGTTACCAGAGTTGGTGCAAAAGTAACCAATCCATCAAATCCCTTAAATATTAACCGTTTAATTGACACCTAAAAAAAAAATTGACTATTTTTTTGCTGATATAAACAAAAAAAAATCCCAAATAAATTTTTACTAATGTTGATCGATCATTGTATGAATATCCATAATGTTACTTTAATAAGTGCAATAGGGACTAATCCGTCAAAATCAATGTCATATGATTTCTTTCTATCACCACGTATCTCACCCCCCCTTCCTTTCTCCCTTTTCACTCATTTTTCTCATTTGCAAAATTTGAGATTTAACATAGTGAGATAAGTTGTACAAAATTGAAAATAAAACTGAGCACGCCTAGCTTAAGAACATTGTCACAACTTTAAGCAATTGCATTCATGATAGGTTCAAAATTTTTAAATGGTTTCGCCAGTACTACAAAGAAACAAGTGATTTAATTTGATGTTCGATTAAAATGATATTTTCTCACATGATATTCATACAATGATCGATTAATCTCTAGAGAATTTCATCTGAGAATATTTTTTATTCATATCAGTGAAAAAAAGGTCAACTTTTGCTTAGATCTCAACTAAACGGTCAACATTTACAGTATTTGATGGATTGATCACTTTTACATTAACTGTAGTGATATTATAAGTATTTTTGCTCTTAGCCGACAACTTTGTGGGTATTTTTGCTCTTAACTAATGATTTCTTTGCCCCTTTATTAGTCTACGTCAGCAAAGACTAACACGTAATATGCATAATCAGCACTTAATGATCAAAGTTAATAGTGTTAGGTTAAAGTTAATGATTTGATTATTTTTGCACCCATTCATGTAACATTATGGGTATTTTTGCCCTTTTCCTCACTTTAGGATACTGGGTGCCCGTGATTAATCACTTTATGAGTATTTTTGCCGCTTGTCCCTCAATGAAAATCAAAAGGGAAAAGTGGAAGATATTAGGTATTGAAGATTTAAAAAACCTTGGTGAAACATAATATACTAAAAATTGACAAGAACTAAAAGTTGGACCACTCAACTACCATTTGAGACACAAACAGACGCAATATTAATTCATTCAAAGGCCATTCACTATCCACTTTGTCAATATTGACCGTGATTTATTTCAAACCAATGAGTTCAATATTCCAAAATGATATTCTCTTTACTTCCTAAGGGATGAATCATTTCTTATAATAACACGTAAATTATACTTTCAATTTATTTTAAAATGACTGAAAAAAGTCATCCTCAAACTCATAGTGATCTTCAAGTACTTCGAATTTAAAATTTGGATCACTCAACAACAATTTGAGAAACAAAATAGACATAATATTGTGGCATTCAAATACTATTTTACTCTAGTTAAAACATTTTAAATGATAGAAGACATGATAAATAGAGGAAACATTGAAATATAAATGAAGTTGTGTTAACATCATAATTGTTGCTAGTGCACTTAATACATGATCTTTTCTACTACATGATTGTTCAAAAGGCTG